CTCCGTGGGACGCCTGCTTCTCCCTCTGCCTGTCATTCCCCTCACTTGTGCGCACGCACTCTATCAAATAAATAAATAAAATCTTAAAAAAAAAGAAGTTCACTGAGAACGTTTCACATTCCATAGTGCAAGTAACTTTTAGGAAACCATCTCTTGTTGAATTCTGATCAAGTATCAAAAAAGATCTACAATCACCTAAAGAGTTATTAAAATATTTCTCCTCTTCCCAATGACCTGTGTGTGAAGCCAGGTTTTCTTCAACTAGTTCAAACAAAATAACACACTGCAACAGACTGAGTGCAGGGGCACCTGGGCGGCTCAGTCGGTTAAGCGACTACCTTCGGCTCAGGTCATGATCTCGGGGTCCTGGGATCGAGCCCCGCATTGGGCTCCCTGCTCCATGGGGAGCCTGCTTCTCCCTCTCCCTCTCCCCCTGCTTGTGTTCCCTCTCTCGCTGTGTCTCTGTCAAATAAATAAAAATAAAATCTTTAAAAAAAACACAAAACAATAGACTGAGTGCAGAAGCAGTGATGAGAACCTAGCTATCCATCTAGATGGACATCAGATGCTAAGGAGATCCGCAAACTGGGAAAACCATGCGTCTTTCCATCAACTTTTTTCGGTTTCAGAAACAGTTACTTTTTTTTTTAAAGATTTTATTTATTTATTTGAGAGAAAGAATGAGAGAGAGAGAGAGCACATGAGAGAGGGGAGGGTCAGAGGGAGAAGCAGACTCCCTGCTGAGCAGGGAGCCCGATGCGGGACTCGATCCCGGGACTCCAGGATCATGACCTGAGCTGAAGGCAGTCGCTCAACCGACTGAGCCACCCAGGCGCCCCAGAAATAGTTATTTTTTGTTAAAACGTGATTTATATTAATATGTAATGGGTTTAGGGGTGCCTGGGTGGCTCAGTTGTTAGGCATCTGCCTTTGGCTGGGGTCATGATCCCAGGTTCCTGGGCTCGAGCCCCGTATCGGGCTCCCTGTTTTGCGGGAAGCCTGCTTCTCCCTCTCCCACTCCCCCTGCTTGTGTTCCCTCTCTCACTGTGTCTCTCTCTGTCAAATAAATAGTCTTAAAAAAAAAAAAAAGAAATGATTTAATTGTGTAAATGCTTGGAAACCAGGGAAAATAATTTATAAAAAAATATGCAATAGGTTTGTTATTTTAAAATAACAACTATTTAAAATTTTTCTCAGTTTTAACTTCTAAGATAGTAAATACCAATAGATAAAACCAAAATGAAGTGAAGCTCTTTGGGATCCTCAGTTTTTAATTGTGTAAAGACACCAAAATGTTTTGAGAACTGCTGTAGTAAAAAACCAAATGCAGATTTTAAAAAGGCAAAGCAGGGGGTGCCTGGCTGGCTCATTCAATTGAGTGTCTGACTTCAGCTTGGGTTGTGATCTCGGGGTCATGGGACTGAGCCCCGTGTTGGGCTCCATGTTCAGCAGGGAGTTTGCTTGTCCCTCTTCCTCTGCCCCTCCCCCTGCTCTCTCTCCCTCTTTCAAACAAATAAAAATCTTAAAAAAAATAATAAAAATAGGGGCGCCTGGGTGGCTCAGTTGGTTAAGCGACTGCCTTCAGCTCAGGTCATGATCCTGGAGTCCCAGGATCGAGTCCCACATCAGGCTCACTGCTCAGCGGGGAGTCTGCTTCTCCCTCTGACCCTTACCCCTCTCGTGCTCTCTCTCTCATTCTCTTTCTCAAATGAATAAATAAAATCTTAAAAAAAGAATAAAAAATAAAAAAATAATAAAAATAAAAAGCCAAAGCAGGAAGGAGTGCCATCTGGTGGAAAAGACAGTTATGACACCAATCCACTTGCTAACAAAATAAGTAGCGCCTCTAATCCATCCTGGTAACATTCCTATTTTAGAAACTTCACGTGCTTAAGGCAGAAATATTCAAAATTGAAGGTTTGGAACTCAAAAATACTGTTAAAAGTTGGGGCGCCTGGGAGGCACAGTTGGTTAAGCGTCCAACTCTTGGTTTCGGCTCAAGTCATGATCTCAGGGTCATGAGATCGAACCCCGCGTCAAGTCTGCTTAAGACTCTCCCTCTCCCCCCACACCCACCCGTGCGTGCATGCACAGGCTTTCCCTCTCTAATAAGTAAATAAATCTTAGGGTGCCTGGGTGGATCAGTTGTTAAGCGTCTGCCTTCGGCTCAGGTCATGATCCTGGAGTCCTGGGATTGAGTCCCGCGTCAGGCTCCCTGCTCCGCAGGAAGCCTGCTTCTCCCTCTCCCACTCCCCCTGCTTGTGTTCCTTCTCTCGCTGTCTCTGTCAAATAAGTAAAATCTTAAAAAAAAAAAAAAGGTAAATAAATCTTAAAAAAATATATACATTGTTAAAAATCAATTAAGTATACCAGAAGAGTTGTGGAATAAAGGGAGGGTTGGTAGGGGTTTCAGGTGGAGGCCACTGCCTGAAGACAGTCTGAGGGCAGTTCAGGCAGGAGAGTAAGCCAGCACCAGGACTAAGGCATGGGGAGCACAGAAGACTGTTTCCAGTCCTTGGGATGCCACGAACACTCATGATTTTTGAACTTGAGGACATGTGAGCTGGAGAGCTCTGTCTGACCCCTTCCACACTCATCCTCCAAAAGAACTACAAGTCATTGTAAGGGTGGATTCTATGTTCTGTTCTCCGAGGACTTCTCAAGAACAGAAATTGTTCCAGAACACTTTTCTTTCTTTAAAGATTTTATTTTTTTTATTTTAAAAGATTTATTTATTTTGAGAGAGTGAGAATGAGAGAGAGAGAGAGACAGACAGAGAGCACATGAGAGGGGGGAGGGCCAGAGGGAGAAGCAGGTTCCTCGCTGAGCAGGGAGCCCGATGCGGGACTCGATCCCAGGACTCCAGGATCATGACCTGAGCCGAAGGCAGTCGCTTAACCAAATGAGCCACCCAGGCGCCCTAAAGATTTTATTTGTTTATTTGACACAGAGAGAGAGACAGCAAGAGAGGGAACACAAGCAGGGGGATTGGGAGAGGGAGAAGCAGGCCTCCTGCCGAGCAGGGAGCCCGATGTGGGGCTCGATCCCAGGACCCTGAGATCATGACCCGAGCTGAAGGAAGTCGCTTAACCAACTGAGCCACCCAGGTGCCCCTCCAGAACACTTTTCATTCCACAACCAGACTCAAAGTTCAAATGACTGAATGAAATACAATAAGGCACATCAGTCAAAGGGTGAGTATAAACGACACGTCTTCCCAAACTTCATGTGGTACTGAGAAAGGCTGACACAAGACACGTTAACAAATTTCCCAATTCTGTCCCCCTCTCCCCCAGGCCTGGGTGTTCTTCCTCATTTCTGGGCGACTTGCTGTTTAGTTTGCTGTATTCCAGAAGGGGTGACAGTGAAGTACCTATACCTTTTTCTCTAGCCAACTTCCCCAGAAGGCCTTCCAGCCTTAAGCAAAGGCCAGCCACTACACACACACAAAGGCTCCAGGTCCCACTAAACCCTCCTTTTCCTCCATAATGAAGTTCTAGCACTTGGCAGCTCCTCAGGTTTATCTCATGCATGGGCTCTAAGGCCCACACACCCCAAACATTAAGACAGAAGATTACTACCACTACTGCCAATTTTCTTCCGCAAGCCCAAGCAGAGGTGTGGCCGCCCTTGACCCAGGCCACAGGCCTGCCCTCCTGCTTATAATCCTTGGATGAGTTAAGCCTGGATGAGTTAAGCCTGAGTTCCTTACTTGGCACAGAAAGTAGTGGCATTTGCAGTGTCTAGGGCTCAAGTTTTTTCTTTCTTCTACATGCTGGGGCCCAAACTTTCTTCCCTGGTAAAATGTGTTATCCACATCATCCACAGCCTTTCACAGGCTTATTTCAATGGTCACACACAGTTCTATCCAAACACAGAATCAGTTCAAATTTGGAACAGCTTGTACTATATTTTCGGATAAACTACTGTTTTGATTATAATTTGGTACAATTTTCCAAAGTTCTACTATGTTGCCTTGAAGGCTTCAGTTGGTTTCAAAGTAGCTTTTAATCACAAAACTTGGCCCGGATTCCCGAGGCCTAGAGTGATGGAATTAGACTTTCTCTTTGAAAGAGAAATGTCTGTTCCCTAAAGAATGTGTCCTCAACAGGCACAGTACAGCAAGCCTACCTGACACAAGGGGGGGTGGGGGGGTCTTAACCATCATCACAATAGGTCAAGGAGCATGACAGGAAATGCTGCTATTTACTCCGGGCTGCTACCAAGAGGGAAATATCAGAAAAAATGGCAATGTTGTTTCAGAAAGACCATTCTGTTTACCTAAAGGTGGATGGGCACGGGCCTGGGGAAACAAGGTGCAGCTTCTCTAGCAGCTGGGGAAAGGCCTCACTCTGTCTGACCCTCTCATGTCCCTTCCTCACTTCTAGACGACTAAAGAGGACAAAAGGCAGGGGCACCTGGGTGGCTCAGTCGTTAAGCGTCTGCCTTCGGGTCGGGTCATGATCCCAGGGTCCTGGGATCGAGCCCCGCATCGGGCTCCCTGCTCGGCAGGAAGCCTGCTTCTCTCCCACTCCCCCTGCTTGTGTTCCTGCTCTCACTATGTCTCTCTGTGAAATAAATAAATAAAATATTAAAAAACAAAACAAAAAAAAGAGTATAAAAGGCAGCCCTTATGGCTTCCTTATTCTAGAAACATTCCCACATCTAACTCACCTGCAGGTGCAGTGACCCCACCAAGCTCACCTGGCTACAGAGCAGATGCAGGCTGCTATGCTCAGCCAGGCCTCTTGCCTTTCTAGTCTGGAGATATGGCACTATCTACAAGGCTGGAAATCCAAGCTGCCTCAGGACTTACTCATTCCACGGTGACCTCCTTTCTTTAGAAAGCAGGTTTCATCCCAGAGAATGCACACGTGGTTGCACAGTATGTTAGCACGGTGTGTTAGCGGGACCAACCTGGCCCAGACATAGGAACTGAGCCACAATGTTACAATGCTTTGCTCGCATCCAGCCACCCCACCACAGCCAACACCAAATACCTTTGGGTCATCAGCCTCAGGTTTTTCAGTCTCTGAATCGTCATCTTCCTACAAGACAAAGAATTTAGAGGATTAAGCTTAAAGGAGCGGGCCTGAGAGTTCTCACATGCATAACTAGGGGCTGGAGCAATGTACCCAGACTGGGCCATCCCAAGAACCCCTCCCCTGCCCTGTGACCCAGAACTAGAGAAAGAGAAAGGGAAAAGGAGATGTTCCGGGGGGTGGGGGGTGGAGAAAAGAACATCAGCAGCTCTAAGTCGTGACTCCAGCAGTGCCATAGTCTACGCGATGAAAATGCCTGAGATTAAAAATCACATACATAAAAATGGAAAAAGGCTGCAGTGCGTCAGAAAAGAATAAGACCAGGCCCCACGGGATAAAACAGGCATAGTGTTTCCAATGAAATATCACTTATTTAAAACCAGGAAGATGAACCCTTTTTCTCCTTCTCTGCCTTTCATACACACAAGGATGTCAGACTCAGACCTACCATGACATCATTCACGGTTAGAGTGCCATGACCCCCACACAACTACACCCCGGCACTTCAGCTCAGCAGCAGTCACAGCCACATGAACAGCAGGAAGGCAGGTGTCAAATGACTGGAGCGAGTGACCCAGGGAGGGGGGCTAAAGAGCAACACCCGGCTTTTCCTGGGTCCTGGCCAAGTAGGCCCTGCCTCCATCCAAGCTCTCACAGAACTGCCACTGACCCGGTTCTAACCAGTCTTCTTCCTGATCCAAACGGCCTGCCTGACACAAAGCACCATGTGAACAAGGCATTCTCCAAAGCGTGCACTGGCCTCACACGGGCTAGCCCACCATTCCACTGAATGCTACTGGAGGTTCAAGATCAGCTACCCTATTATGTAGCTATATCCGTGACTGTTCGAAGAACACCCCAATGCACAAGAGCCTTTAACTTAACACCCAGGAAAAAATTAAGTTTCATTTGAAATTGCTTTTCTCAATCGAGCTATGCTTTAACCCAAACATTAAGTAGCGCCCCAGATGTTAATATAAACATCACCTGTGAGACTGGAACAAACTATACTGATGGCTTTGAGATTTAACTGTCCTGTCGGTTGCCAGTGAGCCCAAAGGTTTAAATGCAATCTCCATGATTTCCTCAAAATGAAATCAATCAAGCCAAATAATCAGAGATGTAGCTCAGCCAAATACAATCACATTTTAGAATGCCTATATTGGGATTTGATGAGAGGATTTTAGTAGAATGACATAAAGCTTAAATATGATGAAAATTCTAAGCAAAGCAATGTGGAACAACACTTCAGAGACACACCATGCACATTTCATAAGAAAACAGTTATGGTGTTAAGACAGTATGTGTGCACTTAAAGAAAAAGCAAGAAAAGAAAACAATTTGCAAAGCTTTTCTAAACAATTTTAGTCAATTCTGAATTATCAGCATTAATGGTGGGGCTAAGGACATGAAAATTTCTTCCAAAAGAGCATCAAATACAAAATGCTTTTTTGTTTTACTTAGAAAGTCTTTTAACGCTAATATTTAAAAATCAATGCATAAGAAAACTTTCAAACAAGTAATAAAGTACATTGAGAATCTCAGTTAAAGATGTTGCTTAATAACCAGATTCTATATCCAGATTTCACTTTGTATGTCTTTGTGCTAAGCACCAGGTTGAATCCTTGCTTTCTCTCCAAACTTTTAAATTCTGGCTCCTGAGGCTCAGGCGATAGTGTATCCAAAGGCTTTCTGGTTAATTAAGACAAAGTTCTCTTTTCTTTGTTGCCAGCACATACTAAACATCAGGCAAGATTTGTGCTCAAGAACCGCGGGCACTCCGCTAAAAAGTTTCAAGTAAAATATCAAGAAAGAAGTTAAGAAGGGTCAAACCACGAATAAAAAACTACAGAATTTCCCTTCCTAATCTTTTTGATAAGCTGAAAGATTTGAATAAACTCCAACCAAGATTAAAAATAACACAGTTGAGTGCAGATATAAATGATACACCAGTTAGCATGAATGCATTGTTACAAATGGAATAAACTATCTTAACAGGGAAAACCAACATGAAACATATCTCAGTTAAATAAAATAGTCCATTATCTCTTCCCCCAAATTTCAATTCAAAAGTTAATACAAAATGGTCCAGATGAAAACAGGTTTCGTTTTTAAACAGAGCACTGATATCCAACCCAGTTTCCTCAACTGATAACAAATAAAAAGCGGGGGAAGGGAGGGGAATGATTTTAGCGGTGGAATGGAACACTGCTGGTACAGTTCGAAGATTTCTGACAAATGAAATGGTGCTTTGAGCAACTCTGGATTTGGGAACAGATTTACTTACCGACTGTTTGCTGTTCTCATCCTCTTCTTCTTCATAACCATCTTCATCACCACCAAGCCGAGAAAAGTCATCCTCTCCATAGGCTTCAGATACTAATCCACCTTTCTCCTCTGAAACAGAGGAAAAAAGAAAAATGAATGAAGGCATTCAAAAATGCAAGACAGCATTTCAGTTATTTGAGTGGCCAGAACCACCCCTGAAGATCAAAGGGGTGCCTAAATCTCATTTAAGTGACTATAGATCCAGAATCTGCCTTTGGAAAGATTATCCACTAAATCCACAATTTAGTAGATAGAATCATTAAAATAACATGGAAGAAAACCAAATGCTAAATTCTTTCTTTCATGCTTCCCATCCATTTAGTATGCCAAGTGAAGCCTTCTCTTCTCTGAACTACTAGTCTTGCACATTGTCTGAAAACCTCTTTTGATATGGGTATCTCTACCTAGTATCAGAAGCACCAGAACTTGTCTTCTCATACAAGGACAAGGACTCTGTCGCCCTCATTTTTCTGTGTCCTCCCCTAGGAACAGGCGCTTTAACTGGGGCCCTCAGAGGGGCTACCAATCATATCTACTCCAGAAGCAAAATCTCCTTCTATCTTTAAACCGAAACAACCAACAGCAAAAAATATAAAACGCTACAAATTACTGGGAAGCCACCAGAGAACCTCCTGACTGGAAGACACCACACAAAACTGAGAGTAGCTAACCTCCAAATGAGGAAAGGAAGGCCCAGATATGTTAGGTAACTTGCTGCCCTCTCTATGATCCCAAAGAAATCTGTTCCCATTTCCTAACATTGTGATTCTCGACCTGAGTAGGGCAACAAAATCACTGATGGGCTTCAACAGCTCACAAGGTAAGGGAATCACTGAGGAGCATTGAAAAGCTCACAAAATGCCCAGATCCTACCCCATATCTACAAATTACTCCGTCGCCAGCGAGATCAGACATACATATTTAAAAGCTCCAAGATGCGAAATTACAAATTTAACAAGCCACAACCTTTATCACACTCCACGTACGTTCTACTCATCGCTCTCTCCGTTATACAATGAACCCGGAGGTCCATCCCTATGCCCCACGGTGCCCGGCACGGAGAAGACTTTCAACAGTTTCGGCAGATCGAAAGAAGATGGCCCATTCTTATTCCAGAGCGTCTACTCTGTTCCAACCAGGGCCTCAGTCGCGCTTCGCGGCTCCCGGACCCGACACTTGGGGCACAATGACCACCTTTTCCTCCCGCCCTGCTAGGGGAGCAGCATTCTGCGCAGACACCAGATTCTCCCCTTCCAGGTCCCTACTCGGGCCTCACCAGGCGCGCCGCCCGCCGCTTCGACCCCAGCCTCGCCGTCGGACTCGGGCTCTGAATCTTCCGCGTAAACGGCCAGAGACGACAGAACATTCTTCTTCCCCGCCATCTTACTCCCACATCCCCAGAGTGCCTCACTCCTATGAGTCAAAAAAGCCGACTTCCGTGAGGGAAGACGACTTTTTCCTATCCCAGGAGAACCCGCGCCGGTTCCTGTGCAGAAACCAATCAAAACGGCCGTTTCTGCGCCTGGCCCCGCCCCTCGCAACCGAGCCGCTTAAACGTCATCACTGCGCGACAGATATAAGGTTGAGTGGGTTTTACCTGACGCTGATTCCCAGCCATTTGGCTCCTCAGAATTTAGTGTGGCTTATGGGGGTCCTCGAGTAGTTCCCGATCGGCGGGCAGCAGCGGCCCAGCAAGAGTCTTCGCTCCCGGGTGGCCCACGCCCAGCTCTGATATCTTGGGGTGAAGAGAGGGAGGCTTCGGTTGGGGAAGGGAGAAAAGAGCGGATCTGGGGCTTAGAGGAAGAAGAGGGATGGACTCTCCTCTGGGAGGTGGGAAGAAGGGATCGGGGCTGGGGGGGGGGAAGAATGGCCGTGATAGCAGCGCTTATAAAAGGAGCAGGAGGTGGATCTTAGAAAAACAATTAACATCTTTTCCAAATTATTTCAAAGACCCAGTTTGTGTTTCTTCTGATCTGATTTCTAGCTCTGTGCTATATCATGGCATGGGATAGTTCAATGTTTCAATTTTCCTGAGCATAGAAGTGGAGATGTTAATTGCCCAGGAATGTGTTGCTTGAGGCTGTTCATCTGGAGCTATGTTAGTTGGAGATAGTCTATTGCTTGAGAGTAATAAATTTTCTTAGAGAAGAATAAGCAGTATTTTAAAAGCGGAACAGAGTTTTCATCGCAGTCATGCGATCATCACCTTTACCTTAACTTCTGGCCACTGTCTGTCGCTAAGATGAGCACCCGCCCTTCTTTTGACCCTGAACGTCGAGTCCGGAGCACGTTGAAGAAGGTCTTTGGGTTTGACTCTTTTAAGACACCTTTACAGGAGAGTGCGACCATGGCCATAGTGAAAGGTAACATTGCCAAACTACCTGTGTTTACGTTTGTGCTGGCTATACTGTAGCATTGCCAGAAGGTGCCAATGCCCTCCTTTTGACCCTTCCTACTTCCCCACCCTTCGTCCATAATTGTTGGAAATCTCGTAGACTTGTCACTTAAAACTTGCAGTTTTATTGGTAGAATCACCCAGCTGTTCTGGTTCTTACATTTCATAGGCAGTGCTACAGATTGTCTTTGAAAACAACTCATAGATTTCAATTCATGTTTGTTTGTGTGTAGGCAGTAGCGCGAGTGGCAGGAATAGCCTAATCTAGTCACTGACCTTCTAAGCCCTTTGTTGAAGATTGAGTGAGCTGGGTCCTAAATAGGGAAGGAAAGAGTCATAGTATTAGAAACCTGAGATATATTGGCAAATGGAGCTTCTCAGGAGGAAAGCAACAATGTAATATTAATTACATTATAACACTTACAAACAAAAGACCTCTAAGTGATGTTGCTTCCATGTCTCCACAGCTATATACACTCGTCTAGAAGTATTCAACTTTTATGGCTGTTTAATTCAATCATCCATATCCCAACAGACTCAGACTTCTCACCCTTGTGGTTGTTATTGCCATTACTGGAAATGGTTTGTGCCCATGTCCAAATCTCTCTGGATCTCTGCCCTTTACACAGGAAGGATGGGAAGGAAATTAGCATTATATTGAGACCTTTCCATGTGCCAGACACTCTGCTAGGTGCTTTTCCTATACTCTCATTCAGGTTTCAACAGCCTTGATGAAGAAAAAGACAAAAGGCAGGATGCATTTATTTATTTATCTATTTCCTTTTAAAGATTTATTTATTTGAGAGAGAGAGAGAGAGCGAGCTCGTGTACAAGTGTGGGGAGGGGCAGAGGGAGAAGGAGAGAATCTCAGGCAGACTCCGCACTGAGTGCAGAACTTGAAGTGAGGCTGGGCTCGAACTCACGACCCTGAGATCATGACCTGAGCTGAAATCAAGAGTCAGACACTTAACTGCCTGAGCCACCCCAGTACCCCTAGGCAGGAACCGTTAAGTATTGTTGTCTTATCTTTTTGCAGGTGACAAGGATGTCTTTGTGTGCATGCCCACAGGGGCAGGAAAATCCCTTTGCTATCAGCTCCCTGCTCTGTTGGCCAAAGGCATCACCATCGTAATCTCTCCACTCATTGCTCTGATTCAGGTGAGGCTTAGGGGAGTGAAGATGGGAGCCCAAAAAGTTTAGGGGAAGGTTTTTTTGTTTTGTTTTGTTTTCTGCTGGAAATGTCACTTCTCATTTGTTTGGTCTTTTGCCTTTTCTTTGATTTGCCTATCTCCCTTTCTATATTGGGTTTCTGAATTGTCCAAATGTGGGGGCTCTGTTAGTTCATATCAGAGTGATATGGTTATGAATGAGTCTTCTGTGTCTTGATGGCCTGAGGTCTCTCACCCTCCTTTGTTACTTTTCACCCAGAGGAGTATGGAAATATATCTGTATACACATAGACAACTACTCATGGACACGGACACACGTGTGTACTCTTGACAGGTTAGAAGATGCAGATGGATAGAAAGCAAAATTAATATCAGTGGGTTAGGACATTGTCAACATCTGTTCTGCACCTCTGGCTATATTTAAGGCCTGCAGATGGGCTGACAGAATCAGAAATGAGGAAGTGTGGCCGTGCGGTTATGAGCCATCCACCATGAAGAGAAGTAGAATGACAGGAATGGTGCTTCATGAGTTTCACGAGGTCTCAGGCTTTGTGCTCAATGCTTTATGTGCATTCACTTCACCTTTGCGGTTTAAAATTTCATTTAATGCTAACAGCTATCCTGTTAGGTAGTTACCGGTTTTACAGGATAGACAGAGAGAAAGAAAGGGAGAACGAACAGAGTCTTAAGAGGCTAAGAGCCAGCCAAAGAGCCTGTGGTGATTCAGTGAGCCAGAAATGAGCCAGGACCATCTGCCTCCAGAGCTTGTGCTCTCAGGCAGTTTACCTCCTGTCCTTGTTGTATGCACAGAGAAGAACTTGGAGGTTGGGAGGAGGACGTTTATGGCTGGGAAATGCCCAGCAAGCCAAGGTGACATTGACTACTGGGTCCTCCTCTCAGTGGCCTGTTTCCTTTCTTCCCTCAGGACCAGGTGGACCACTTGCTGGCCCTGAAGGTACGAGTGAATTCCCTGAACTCCAAGCTCTCGGCACAGGAGAAAAAGGAGCTGCTCTCTGATCTAGAACAAGAAAAGCCACAGACCAAACTTCTGTACATCACGCCGGAGATGGCGGCTTCAGCCTCCTTCCAGCCCACCCTGAACTCACTGGTGTCCCGCCACCTGCTCTCCTACCTGGTGGTGGACGAAGCTCATTGTGTTTCTCAGTGGGGGCACGACTTCCGTCCTGACTACTTGCGCCTGGGTACCCTCCGTTCACGCCTGGCACATGCCCCATGCGTGGCTCTGACTGCCACAGCCACCCTGCAAGTCCAAGAGGATGTGTTTGCTGCCCTGCACCTGAAGCAGCCAGTTGCCATCTTCAAGACTCCCTGCTTTCGGGCCAACCTCTTCTATGATGTGCAGTTCAAAGAACTGCTTTCAGATCCCTATGGGAACCTGAGGGACTTCTGCCTTAAGGCTCTTGGACAGAAGGCTGATAAAGGGGTGAGGGCCCTGAGGCTGGGAGGCCAAGATACTCAAGAGCAGTGGGTGGTATCTGCAGCATAGAGATGGAAATTGGTTTTGTAGGACCTTTGCTTAGAACTAGCTGAAGCTTCTTAAAACTTGTGCACAGAGAGTTGTTCCTTTGGTTTCCTGGCATTATTCCGCTTAGTGGAATTCCCTTGTCCTGGAATTCTTCTTTGGGAGATGAGCAGCCAACCCCTGAGTGAGGCCTTTCTAGACCTATCCAAGGTTTCAGCACAGGAAGCAGAGGAGTTAGATGAGTTGCTTTGTTGCAAAGTGTCAGAGCTCTGCTGGTGGCCTGCCTCAGAGGAACCTGTGAGGCTGACAGGAGAAAGAGCGAGAGCTTCTATTAAAGGAGGCCACAGTAAAATGGGCAGATTGTTCTGTTCTTAATGCACACTCTCTTCCCATGTCTCTTCGTTCAGTTGGTCTCTGGCTGCGGCATTGTCTACTGCAGGACCCGAGAGGCTTGCGAACAGCTGGCGACAGAGCTCAGTTACAGGGGTTTGAGTGCCAAGGCTTACCATGCAGGTAAGTGGTCCCTGGGCCATGTGGTTGCTTCCATCTCCGAAGCCTCTCGGTGGGTCTCTTGTTCTTTAAGGATCCTGGATAATCAGATGGTCTGTCATCTTTTTCCGGATACCCAGGCAGAGCTAAAGCAATTCCCTTATATCCATAAAAAGGAGTCTGGACACAAATGAGATCTAAAATGAGAACTATGGCTCCTGAATTCTTTTTTCTCACCCTGTGCCCTCCCAGCAGCAGATGATGAGTTTTTAGAAGCCCAGGTATTGGTGTTGTGGAAGGAGCACAGGTTTTGGAGGCCAGTGGACTTGGGTTGTTTGAATCTGGGCTTTAACACTTATTGAGTGCTATGTGATCCACACAGGCTAGGGTCGTTTTGAGGTTAAGTGCATGGCCCAAGGCCACACAGGTGGTAAGTGATGGATTCAGGGTGTGTGTACAGTGCCCAACGCAGTATCAAACCCAAGGTAGATTCCAAGGGAAATACGGGTTCCTTTTGCCACCTTCCCCTTCGTCATAGGGCTGAAGGCTTCCGAAAGAACGCTGGTGCAGAATGAGTGGATGGAGGAGAAGGTCCCTGTCATTGTTGCAACCATTAGTTTTGGGATGGGAGTGGACAAAGCCAATGTCAGGTGAGTGACTGTTCTTGCCTTACCTTCTCAATCGGGGCCTGGCTCAAGTGGGCTGCCTAGTTCTCTGCCTCAAGGACCTCCTTCTAGGGCCAGAGGGGGACGAGGCCCCAAGAGAGAATCCCCAGTGCATAGCCCACATGGTGACAAGTGCTATGCAGCCCTCTCCTGGTGACTGCACAGCCGGGTTCTGCCATCCCCCAGGAGAGGGCAGCATGCAGCCATCAGGCCCATGCATTAACGCAGCCCAGTTCCCTCACATCTAGCCCAGGGTCCCTGTGAGGGGGTGGAATAACTATCTTAAACGGCCCACTGTGGGAAATTAAAGGCAATGTCTTATTCCCAGCATTCCTTGTTACTGCTTATGACAGTCCAGAAGAGAGAGTGCATCCCAGCCTCCTAGACCTACCCTGGCAACTGTTGGGAAGTCTTTTATCTCTAGCCCCACCTAACCTTCCAGAGTCATTTTCAGCTACAGCCTGAAGCTCTTTGCTCTGGTTAACACCAACAATAATGCCTTGTGTGATTTGCAGAGCACTTTTGCGTACATGATCTCATTAAGACTCACAGGGAAGCTGAGTTGGTCAGGGGAGGAATGAGTCTATGTGCTTACATTTACGAAAATCACAGGTTTGGACCCTGGGTTGGCTGTGGCTTGTAAGGGCCAGATTTGAAGTCAGACACAGCTAGGCCCAAGTCCTAGCTCCACTGTCCCCTTGCTATGTCACCTTGTACACATTTTCCTGATCATTTGCTTGTCTATAAAATGGATTTATCTCACCTGATAGTAACTACAATTAAACGAGACAAATAGATAAACCGGCCCATAGTAGGTATTCAATAATGTTATTCGTCCCTCTCTCTTTAAAGAGGTTAAAGGGATTTACTCGAGGTTGTGCTGCTCATTAGAGGCCTTACCTTGTTTCTTTAAGCCCAGTCCTTTTTCCTCTAGGCGGGGAGTGTTGAGTGTTTTTGGTTTCTCATATGTGCTGGAATTGCCCCCCTTAACTCTGTTGTGGCCTCTAACTTGGGCCACTCCGTGGCAGCGATGGGGTGTGGGGATCTTGACCACATTTACTCTGAAACCTGCTAGCCTCCCTGTTCCTGGTCACTGCTTCCCTGACTCCGATAGCTCCCCCCCTCAGCTCCTCTGCCACAGCTCATGCTGCTTGTCTCTTTGGATTCTACAGGTTTGTTGCCCACTGGAATATTGCCAAGTCTATGGCTGGGTACTACCAAGAGTCTGGCCGGGCAGGCAGGGACGGGAAGCCTTCCTGGTGCCGTCTCTATTACTCCAGGAATGACCGGGACCAAGTCAGTTTCCTGATCAGGAAGGAAGTAGCAAAACTCCAGGTAAAATCCTGGGCAGCAGGAGCCCTTTCCGTCCAAACCCCTCTCTCCAGTTTCAGGCAGCTTATTTCTGAACCGAGGTGGAGCTTCTGTAAGCTACAGGGTTGCTCCTGGAGCTAGAAGGTATAGCAGCAGGGGGAATGGTGTACTGGTGAATGGGCATCTTGCAACAGCTAGGTTAGACTCTTTCCTTTATATATAGTATATCTTAGTGTGATCTCTTGTGTGCCTGTTATTTTACATAGCCAAGATCAATCCTGCCTTGTGGTTTTTTTGGTTTTGTTTTGTTTGGGGGGGCAGGGGCAGATGGAAAAGGAGAGAGAATCTTAAGGAGGCTCCAAAACCCTGAGATCATAACCTGAGCCAAAATCAAGAGTCACACACTTAACCAAATGAGTCACCCAGGCGTCCCAATCCTGCCTTGTTTTAATTAGCATTGTTACATAAGCATTTTCCTATATTATTGAAAGTTCTTTGTTTTTGTTCTCAGCCTTTTTTTTTTTTTTACTGGTTGTACATACTTTACAGAGAGTCTAGAAAGAGACCCAAATACGTAAATGAACTTGATGTATGATAGGTGACATAAAATATCAAGAGAAAAAGGATGCACTGTCGAATAGTGCTGGAAAAAGATAAAATCAGATACTTACCTCCTGTACCATATACATGTGAATTACAGGTGGAGTAAAAGCCTCAAGAAAAAAAAAAAAAGTAAAATTGGGGGAAAATATTTTATTTCCTTGACAAAGGGAAGAGCATGTCAAGATTTTAAAAAGTGAAAGTCATCAAGGAAGACATGATCTATTTGACTAAATTCAAACTAAAAATTTCTGTGTAACGGAAGATACCATAAATAAGGTGAAAAAATGAGCTATTATTGGGGAAGGTATTTGCAATATATATGATCGACTGAGTACGTAGAGAACTCCTACAGGTGAATCTATAAAAGGCAAACAGCTGCAGAGCAAAAAGTATGAATTTCACAGAAGAGGGAGCCAGAATATCTAATAAAGGTATGAAGAGTTGCTCAGCCTCCCTTGGGAATCAGAGAAATGCAAAGGAGATAGTGAGCTGTCACTTGAAACACGTCATACTGGCAAAAATCTACAACATCTTTATAATCACTGTTGGCAAGGATATGGGGAAAGGGGAACCCATGGTGTTGTAAGGAACATGAACTGGTATGACTGCTTTGAAGAGAGACGAGGTGATACATGCAATGGGAGGGTACTGGTGCTCTGTGATTCAGTAATTCCACTTCTAGATAAACAAACTGTCATGTGCACAAGGATGTATGGAGATGTTTGCTGCAGCTCTGTCATAATGAACTCTTCCTCTGTAGGGTATTGGATAAGTAAACAGTGGGTTAGTCACACAGTGGAATGGTCTAAAGCAGTTAAAAATGACACAGTAATTCTATATTAACCAAGAAGGATCAAGTCCCCCAAAGCATCATTTATGAAGTTGCAAATGGATACATATAGATTTCTCCTTATAAGAAATATTGAGCTTTCTGCCCGTGGACGCCGCAGAGTAAGCATCGTTTAAGTCTCCCCTCCCACCGCCGTCATGTCTAAGTCAGAGTCTCCCAAAGAGCCTGAACAGCTGCGGAAGCTCTTCATCGGAGGTTTGAGCTTTGAAACAACCGATGAGAGTCTGAGGAGCCATTTTGAGCAATGGGGAACGCTTACGGACTGTGTGGTAATGAGAGATCCAAACACCAAGCGCTCCAGAGGCTTTGGGTTTGTCACGTATGCCACTGTGGAGGAGGTGGATGCAGCCATGAATGCAAGGCCACACAAGGTGGATGGAAGAGTTGTGGAACCAAAGAGGGCTGTCTCAAGAGAAGATTCTCAAAGACCTGGTGCCCACTTAACTGTGAAAAAGATTTTTGTTGGTGGCATTAAAGAAGACACTGAAGAACATCACCTAAGAGATTATTTTGAACAGTATGGGAAAATTGAAGTGATCGAGATCATGACTGACCGAGGCAGTGGCAAAAAGAGAGGTTTTGCTTTTGTAACATTTGATGACCATGACTCTGTAGACAAGATTGTCATTCAAAAATACCATACTGTGAATGGCCACAACTGTGAAGTAAGGAAAGCCCTATCTAAGCAAGAGATGGCTAGTGCTTCATCCAGCCAAAGAGGTCGAAGTGGTTCTGGAAACTTTGGTGGTGGTCGTGGAGGTGGTTTTGGTGGGAATGACAACTTTGGTCGTGGAGGGAACTTCAGTGGTCGAGGTGGCTTTGGTGGCAGTCGAGGTGGTGGTGGATATGGTGGCAGTGGGGATGGCTATAACGGATTTGGTAATGATGGAAGCAACTTTGGAGGTGGCGGAAGCTATAATGATTTTGGCAATTACAACAATCAATCCTCAAATTTTGGACCCATGAAAGGAGGAAATTTTGGAGGCAGGAGCTCTGGCCCCTATGGTGGTGGAGGCCAATACTTTGCCAAACCACGAAACCAAGGTGGCTATGGTGGTTCCAGCAGCAGCAGTAGCTATGGCAGTGGCAGAAGGTTTTAATTACTGCCAGGAAACAAAGCTTAGCAGGAGAGGAGAGCCAGAGAAGTGACAGGGAAGCTACAGGTTACAACAGATTTGTGAACTCAGCCAAGCACAGTGGTGGCAGGGCCTAGCTGCTACAAAGAAGACATGTTTTAGACAATACTCATGTGTATGGGCAAAAAACTCGAGGACTGTATTTGTGACTAATTGTATAACAGGTTATTTTAGTTTCTGTTCTGTGGAAAGTGTAAAGCATTCCAACAAAGGGTTTTAATGTAGATTTTTTTTTTTTGCACCCATGCTGTTGATTGCTAAATGTAATAGTCTGATCATGACGCTGAATAAATGTGTCTTTTTTAAAAAAAAAAAAAAAAAAAAAGAAATATTGAATGCCAAAAAAAGAAATATTGTATGCAAGTATTATATCTGATCTTTACCAAAACGACATTAAAAGGACAAAAAATATATAAACCCACAGGGACAGAAAGAATAGAAAACAAGGTAGAAATGTCAACAAGTGTCTGCCTAGAAAACCCCAGACTCTACTGGAAGTCTATTAGAGTTCGTAAGAAAACCTGGCAAGATGGCTGAATATAAGGGAAATATTTTAAAAAGCCTAGCTTTTCTCCACACAACCATGAATGCCTAGGAATGGAAATGAAAAAAGTACTTAATTTGCAAGAATAAAACTTATAAAATACCTAGACGTAAATGTTACTGGCTTTAACAAGAGACTGAAAAAAACGAGCAAACACACAAACAAAAACCCTTCCCAGTTGGTTTTAACATGCAGCCAGGGATGAGAACTACTGATTTAGATGAAGAAAACTAGTATCTTGTGGAAAGAAAACAAGCTCTGAGTAGTCACAAAAACTGAGTGGGAAGACATAAAACTGTGAATTCTCCTCAAAGTTAATATAAATGAAGTTCCAGTTGAAATCCCAAAAGATCTCTACTGGGAAGTGGAATTGTAGAATTTATGTGTGAAAGAGTAAGTGCCCGAGAACAGCCAGGAAAAGTCTGAAGGGGAAGAATGGTGAAGGGCTCGAGCTTAATCCAGTGTCAGAATGTGCTGTGGTGTTGCTGTAATCAAATCCACGTAATATAGCAACAAGGAGTGGCCCAGACAAGGGAATTAGAAATAAGGCCCAGAGCACATGAGAGTTTAATATGTGATGAAACAGACAGCTCAATTTAATGGAAAATGAAAGGACTGTCTAGTAGGTGGTGCTGGCATCCCTCTGGAGTAAAATGAAAGTGCCCCATTTGGCACCTTATATAAAAGACAGATTTAAGGACCTACAAGTGAAAAGCAATGTCTTACAAGACACTTTATTCCAGTGTATAACCTAGGGCTCGAAATAGTTTTGTAATGAAAATTAGAAATTCAGAAAGCCCTCTTTTAAAAAAAAGTATTTGAATTAATGTTCTTGAACCTTTTTTGGAGGGGATGGGAGGGCAGCAAAGCAAGGTTTATTAAGCGATTAACAGTGATAGTACAAAGCTCCCAGGGAGGGAGGGGACCCGAGAGGGTTGCCACTGGAGTTTCTAAGTCTTGGGATTTTTTATGGGCTTGTTGGTGGGCTGTTTTAATCTGATTAACCCTCCCTGCGCCTGTCACGCAATCAGGTGTTTGTCATCAGTCTATGGGAAAGCATGGAGGGCTCCTTCCAGGATGGTGTAAAATTCTTTTAAGGGTGGTTTCCTCTTAGGGCAGGGGCCCCAAGTGATTGAACTTCTAAAATCCTGAACCCATGAAAAAAATGTAGGCAGCAAAAGATACCAAAAACAAAGCCAGTACATAAAAAGCAAATCTGAAAAACTGGTTACCGTAGAAGGCAAACCAGAGGTTGAAGTTGAGTGTCAGTGGAGAGATTTCACCAACTGACAGGAAAAAGCAGTGTGTGAAAGCAAGTTCCCAGAAAAGCTCATCCAAACGGCACGTCCAAAGATGTTCAAATTCAATAGTAATCAGGTGAATGAAAATGACAGTAAAATGACACATGTGCAAAAGGGCTCTAACACTCGTGGCTAGTGAGCATGTGCAGGAGAGGGCCTGCACTTTGCCTGGAGAAGAAGGAAGCTTTTGGGGGGAAGGATTCTAGAAATATCTATTACACTTTATTTTTTTTTTTTAAAGATTTTATTTGAGAGAGAGTGAGCGCGAACTGGGGGAGGGGCAGAGGGAGAGGGACAAGGAGACTCTGTGCTGAACGTGGAGCCCAATGTGGGGCTCGGTCCCAGGGCCCAGAGATCATGACCTGAGCTGAAATCAAGAGTCAGATGCTCAACTGACCGCCACCCAGGCAGCACCCCTATTACGCTTTAACATACCCTTTGCCCCAGATACCGTATTTCTGGGACCGAATCACCTAAAATAAAAGCTCATGTGCTGGGGGCGCCTGGGTGGCTCAGTAGTTAAGCATCTGTCTTCGGCTCAGGTCACGATCCCAGGGTCCTGGGATCGAGCCCCGCATCGGGCTTCCTGC